CTCAAGTGCTGGGATTAAAGGCATGCACCACCATGCCCAGCATACACTTGGTTATTTTAATGACTGCACTGTGTTTTTATTTGTTCCTTCCTGTAATACATTGGGAAAGCTATCTTCATGACCAAGTGGCTAAAATTTTGCTTGTTAAAGTATCTGTAATATACCCAGGTTGACTGGATTTGATATTTTTATTTATGTGTATGAGTGTACTGCCTGCATGTACATAGGTGCACCCATGTTGTGCAATGCCCGAGTTGGTTGGAAGATGGTATCATCAGATCCCCTGGAACTGGAGTTACAGATGGTTGTTAGCCACCATGTGGGTACTGGGAATCAAACTCAGGTCCTCTGCAAGAACAGTCAGTACTCTTAACACTGAGCCATCTCTCCAGCCCTTAGACTTTTTTTTTTATGATGTAGTATGCAATCTTCTTAATCTGCTTATGCAGATATAACAAAATACAGAATACTTCATTATTTATTAAAAACATCTATTTATTTCTCATAGTTCTAGGGGCTAAGAAGTCCAAGATCAAGGCATTGCCAGGTTTGGTATCTGGTGAGAGTTAGGTCTCAGCTTCCAAGATGACGCCTTGAATGCACATCTTCTGAAAAGACAAGCATTATACTCTGACTCGTAGGCTGAGACAGTGGGGAAAGGGGTTATCAGTCCCTCAAGCCCCTTTTTAAGACATTCAACCTATGACGACAGAACATGATTTATGAGCAATTAGGTTTATAAAAGCACTGCAGGTATTTGAGAAGTGAGTCCCTGTGATTCTGCCTTATTTATTTATTAGTTATAGCTCATTTTAATCAGAGCTCTTAGGTATTCACTTTTTAATTCACTCTGGAAAACTGAGTTCTGTTGAAATCTACCAATCGTCTTAGTCCATTTATAATTATATTTCTGTTGTCTCTATTACACACACACACACACACACATTTGCTGCATATTCTACGTTGAATTGGGTTCCTGCTAAATTCAAGTCTTAATCCCTTGGACTTGAATTTTCAACTTCAGAAAGTTACTACATTTGGAAATAAGGTCTTCACAGAGGTCATCAAGTTAAAAAGAGGTCATCAGTGTGCCCCTAATAGGATGGACTGGTGGTGTACTTACAAAGAGGTTGAGTTTGAAGACAGACATTTATACAGGGAGAATGTATGGGAATACAAGGCACGTTATAAAAGACCATGTAAAAATACACAGGGAGAAGAGAGGCCAAGAGGGAGAGGCTGGAACAGATTCCCAGGGCTCCTTACCTCACCTCCCCCATAGTCTTCAGAGGCACCAACACTGTTGGAAGCTTGAAGATACTTTGTCATGGCAGCCCCAGGAAACAGGCTTGCAGCTCTTGTCCAGTCTTTTAATTAAGGTCATTATGCTGGTTATTTTGGTCAACTTGATACAAACTAGAGTCACGTGGGGAGAGGGCGCCTCAGTTGAGGCATTTCCTCCATCAGACTGGCCTTCGGCCATGTCTGTGGAGCTTTTCTTGATGGCTAGTTGATGAAGGAGGGCCCAGCCCACTGCGGGAAGTACCATTGCTGAGCAGGTGGGCTGGTCTGTGTGAGAAACAGAGCTGAGCCAGCCAGGGGGAGCAAGCCAAGAAGTGTATTCCTCCATGGTCTCTGTTTCAGCTCCTGCCTCCGGGTTCTGGCCTTGGGTTACTGCTCTGGCTTCCCTCCATGATGCACAGTGCTCTGAAGTGTAAAGCTGAAACAAACCCTTTCTTCCCCAAGTTGCTTTTTGGTCACAGTGTTTATCACAGCAAGAGATAAACAAACTAGAATGCCTTGTCCCACGTGCAGGCACTAATGGTGACTGCTAAGGTAGGACACTGATCAGCCACAGCCCCTGTGAGCTCTGGAGTCGGGATGGATGATGCCAGAGTCTACAAAGCTTAGGAAAGCGCAGCTATCATTTCGTGCCTGTTTGCCCCTTCAGCAGGTAAAGAGATTGTAATGTTCGCAGAAGATCGTGGCCCTGTTCCACATCTTGACCCTAACTACTACAGACCTCGAGTCAGTCACCCAGTTGTACCTACCCCACACACATAATAACGAATGCTTATTGTTTTAAGCCATGAAACCTTGGGATAATTTGTTGCACAACAATTGGTAACTTATACAGGGAACTTCGGAAATTGAATAGCCCTTCAGAGTTGTCCTGAACTGAGGCAAAGAGGCACCTCGGTTCCTGTCCTAAGTTAGTCATCAGACATGTTACCCTTGAAAAGGAAGCGTGAACTTGGGGAAGGCTAAGTTCAGTTAAAGGTAACTCAGTTCAGTTAAAGAGTGACTCAGGTAAGAGCTGTTGAGACTCAATGCCAACAGCTCAGGAAGCTGGTCCTTCAGTGCTTAAGGAGGGATCTAGGTAGAGCACTGTTAGACGTGGAACTGCTCCCACTGATTGGCTCAGAGCTGCCAGTAGGCTAGTTATAGGACACTCCTGTAATGGTTAATGTTGTCAGCTTCACAGGATCTAGGATCACCTCGGAGAGAAAAATGTCTGGGCAGGTCTGTAAGGAATTTTCTAGATCATGGTAATTGAGGTAGGAAGACATAGTCTAAAAGTGGATGGCTCTGTTACATGGGTTGGGGTCCTGGGCTATGTGAAAAAGGGGAAAGCCAGCTAAGCACTAACATTCATCACCCTGCTCCCTGACTGCAGATGCAACGTGACCAGCTGCCTCACATCCCTGCTGCCAGGACTTCCGCCAGCACCGACTAGACCTAAACCTCGAGCCAAAACAAACCCTTCCTTCCTTAAGTTGCCCCTTGTCATGCACTTTTGTCACAACAGCGAAAAAAGGAACTAATATACCTAGTTATGCAGTACCCCACCTTTCAATGAAAGATGCCTACAGTTGGGGCACTTAATAAAAAGCTGTAGATTGGGTTCTGCTTCCATTAAATACTTCTTGAAGCCCCTCTTTCCTCAGCCTATACACGTCAGCGAGGAAGGAATAAAAGTTCGGGGCCTTATGGTGCAGTGTTTCTGGCGGGGCTTGAGGTAGGAGACCATGATCTTTCCTAGGTGTTGGTGTCCACCGATGCAGGAGAGGCTGATGTCCTATCTGTTGCTTGCAAATCTCTCATCAGCATTCTAGTTATTTGTTTCAGGAGAGAACAAGGAGGAGGCATGACAGTGCTTTCATGCCCCGCCTCTTGTGTGACAACGATCTATTATTTTTACATATGTATTTACTTTGCGGAGTGGAGGGGTGCACATGTTCCCGAGTGCATGTGTGATCAGAGGACAACTTGTGGTGGCTGGCTCTTTCAGGAGGTGGATCCCAGGGATCAAACTTAGCAGGTTAGGTGCTGCAGCACGCGACTTTATCTCTCTGGCTCAAGGATGTTCTTTTGGTTCAAAAGAACCCAGAGAAAGATGAGTGCTTTTTAACTGTCTTGCTGGAAGCTCATTCTCCTGGGAGTAATGCTGGATGCTGGCAGTGGGGTGATCGACAGGTCCAAGGTAGAGATGGAGCTCCCATGGAACTGTCTGGAGGGAAGACCCCACCAGGACTTCCAACCCAGTTCATGAATGGGGTTTCTGACATGGGCTGGCTATGCAGGCAAGCAAGGGTCAACCCAGAGGCCTCCAGCTGTGGTCTGTTCAATGCTTGCCTCATCTCTTCTTAAGAGAAGCCAGAACCACAACTTGCACCTTATTACCCCCACAAGCACAGGATGGGCACTGACATAGCGTAATATCTGACATATTTTTATTTATTTTTAAATTTTTTGTTTACTTGTTTTTTGAGACAGGGTCTCTCTGTAGCCACAGATGGTCTGGAACCGGCTATGTAGACTAGGATGGCTCTCGATCTCACAGAGATCCACCTACCTCTGCCTCTTGAGTGCTGGGATTAAAAGTGTGCGGCCACCACACTTAGTCTGATTATTTAGTAATTGAAATTGATCAAAGGTGAGATTAAGGGAGTGGAAAAAAAAAAAGACTAAAATGGGCAGTGACTGGGAAAGTGAAGGAAGCCATTGCTTGGGAGGACTGAAGACTTGCATTGATAACTCCAGGAAGGGCCGACCCGGACCAGCCTTCCATAAAGATGTGAGCGGCTTTCAGCGTGCCCAGGAGGACCACCGATAGTTGTAAAACAGGAGCAGAGCCTGTTTGCTGGACCGACCAGGCCTAGGATGTGGAGACGCGGAAGGAAGGAGTTTCTTTCCCCTTTCCGTGCACTGACTCTCAAGTTTTTTTCACCAAATGATGGGCGAGTCTAGTAGATTTGCACAGACTGGACTGTGACTATAAAATCCCCAGATGAACTGTTTTAAAATTGCTAGGAAAACCTTCAAGAGCCAGGAAAAGGCTGGGACTGGAGAGCGGAGCCGAAAACGGAGCCTGAATATTGGGAAACATCTCATCTTCTAACCTTCAAACGCAACTGCAGCCGTGGTGCATCGCCTGGCCCGCGCCACTTTCCTGATATTAATCGTTGTCCTCGTACAGAAAATCTAATGTTACCTTAAAGGGGATGTACTCTTAAGAAAACCAGACTCGAGGAATTTAAACAAAAATCACTTCCCCACCACATCATTGCACATAACAAAACAGAGACGTGACCGGCTGCTTATAAGTCTTGTTTAGGTATTTACAGAATATTTCAATAAACAGAAAGGTGACAACCGGCTGGAGGTGGAACCCTCTCTCCCCCTGGGAATGTAGGGGCAGCTGGTCGGTTCCAGCCGCGAGCCCTGCGGTTCCAGCCCTCCTCCTCCGCTTCCAGGACACGCACCCCGGGAATACCCACAAGCCCTCGCGGCCGCGGAGCCGGGCACGCGGGTGACCCAGCGCGGAGATTGACAGCTGAGCTAGGTCACCTCGAGCTCCCCGAGACCTTGGCCAGACGCCGCGGGCGTGGCCTGGGGGCGTGGTCTAGGGTGGGACTGCGGCCCTCCACCAATCAGCGCCCTGCAGGACGCGCGCGCGCCGGGCCGCGCCCTGTGGGCGGCCGGAATAAGGCTAGAATGAAGCCGGGAGGCCGGCTCCTCAGAACCCCAGGAAAGCGGGGCACCACCATAGAGAAGGGAGGAAGCGATGAGGTGAGGGAACGCATCCTGCCATCACTTCCGGAAGCTCAACTCCACTCCAAAGCGGAGCCACTCCGCGCCGCACAGCCTGACGGGAAGGGAGCCGTCCCTTGCGGAACGCGCTGTGGGGCGACTCGCTCCGCCCCCACCGCAGGGCACGCCGGGAGATCCGCTAGTCTCTTTAGCTTTATCCGCTAGTCCTAGGAGGAGGGGAAGGAAGGTGGGCATGCTGACCACGCCCCTTCCACCTGACTGCGCTAGGCCGCGCCCCTGCGCCGGAAGGAGGAAGGCGGGAGGTCGTAGCCCGCCTGGAGGAGAGCGGTCGACGCTTGTTACGTGAAGCCGTTGACGGCGGAGACTGAGGGGGGCGTGGCAGGGGGCGTGACGACTCTGGGGTCACGAGTGGCGGCCGGAAGTGGCTTCCGGTAAGAATAGTCCGAGATGGGGACCTCCCTGGACATCAAGATCAAGAGAGCGAATAAGGTGTACCACGCCGGGGTAAGTGGGGCCTTCAGGTGCCGTGGGCTCGAGCCGCGCATGCGCGTTGTGGTGGCGCTGGCAGGGCGTCCGGGTCGGTTCTTCTGTGAGGGGCTCCCGGAGCTGGTCGCTCGTGTCCGGGACCCCCGACCCCAGGCTGGACCCCTCCACTCAGACTGGACCTCCCACCCACCCCAGGCTGGACACCCGACCCCAGCCTGAACCTCACACCCCAGACTGGACGTCACACCCCAAGCTGGACCCCTCCACCCAGACTGTTCCTCCCCCACACCCCAGGCTGGACCCCCCCACTCTAGACTGGACACCCCCACTCCAGGCTGGACCCCTCACCTCAGGCTGGACCCCCACCCCCACCCCAGGCTGCCTCCTCCCGACCCCAGGCCGTATCTCCCACCCCAGGCTGCACCCTTTCTTCCCTCAGCCCCAGGTTGCCTCTTCCCCTGTCCCAGGCTGGACCCCTCCCCCCGCTTCAGGCTGCACCCCGATCCCAGGCTGTACCTTCCCCACCCTAGGCTGGATCCCCCCACCCTAGGCTGGATCCCCCCACCCCAGGCTGGATCCCTGACTCCAGCTAGCCCACCCACTCTAGGCTGCAACCCCCACCCAGGCTACCTGTTTCTGACCCCTGGTCAACCGCCACCCCTGCTGGACCCCCCCCCCAGGCTGGACTCTCGACCCCAGGCTACCTCTCTGTGACCCCAGCCTGGACCCTGCCGACCCCAGGCTGGACCCCACCAACCCCAGGCTGGACCCCACCAACCCCAGGCTGGACCCCACCAACCCCAGGCTGGAGCAATGGCACTGGGTTTGACGAGCAGGTGTCTAAAGAGCAGAAGGAAACGGTCACTTCTGTACAGAAGTCACCTTTTGTGGGAAGGAATGACATTACCATGGACTTCTAAAGAAAGCTCATCCAGCGGGTTCACCATTCTGGTATACAGACTTGGACTTTTCTGGCTTGAATTCCTGTTTTCCAAATGAGGGTGTTGGAAGATTCCCTTAGAATCTGAACCCTTACTCTACATCACACTTCATCACCCTGGACAGTTTTAAAATTCGGTTCTTATAGACAGTTCCTGTTGAAGCTGCCACTTAAATCAGTGTGTGGTCATTCAAATGCAGTGTGGTGTCGAAAAGGAAAAGTACCAGGCAGAGGTCTTCAATGGAACTCAGCACTGTCTTCTTTCATATACTGGAGAGATGGCTCAGCGGTTAAGAGCTCTGGCTCCTCTTGCAGAGGACCCAGGTTCAGTTCCCAGCATCCACATGGTGGCTAATAACCACTTCTAACTCCAGTTCTAGGGGATCTGACACTCTCTTCTGACCTCCGAGGGCTTTGCACAACACAGTTGCATTTACATACATGCAGGCAATACACCATGCGCATAAAATAAAATAATAAAATATTTTCTAAAAAAAAGGAAAAATAACCAGGCAGACTTCTTGAATAGGTGCTAAAACTTTCATATAAAAGACAGTTGGGGAACCTGGCGTTGATAAAGACTCCAGTCTTCCCTTTATTGCACAAAGGGAAAAGGCTGCGTTTGTGATGGAGGAGTCTAGTAGTCACCACTCAAACCAAGGCCGAAAGAGCAACCACCAACATCACCACCAGTGACCCTGACTGGCACACTGTGCAGCTTGATGCACTGAGAAAGATGGAACTCATCTGTGTGCAAGTAGCACCACAATATTTAATGAGTTCATAATGAAACCATTTGTCACACTGTAGTTGATGGACACTGTCAAAACAGTTGGCTTGTTTTTTTAAAAATGTCAGTGTAGTGGGGCGTGGTGGTGCACACCTTTAATCCCAGCACTCAGGAGGCAGAGCAGGCGGATCTCTGAGTTCAAGGCCAGCCTGGTCCACATAGTGAGTTCCAGGACAGCTGGGGCCACAGGGAGACCCTGTCTCAAAAAGACCAAAAAAAAAAAGACTATTTTCATTTTATGTGTATGAATGTTTTACCTGCATGTATGTAGGTGCACCAACATGCGTGCTAGTCTTTGGAGGCCAGAAGAAAAGCATCGGATCCCTTGAAACTGGAGTTACAGATGGTTGTTAGCTACCATGTGGATGCTGGGAACTGAACCTGGGTCCTCTGCAAGAGCAGCCAGTGCTCTTAACTGCTGAGCCAGCTCTCCAGCCCCCGTATTTTGTTTTTGTAAGACAAAGTCTCACCATGTGGCTCTGGCTATCCTGGAACTAACTATGTAGACCAGGCTGGCCTTGAACTCACAGAGATCCTCCTGCCTCTGCCTCCCAAGTGCTGGGACTAAAGGCGTGTGCCACCACACCCGGCAGTAGCCAGAAAGGAAAAGAGAAAATAAGTTTGTAAGCCAGTGGACCTAATCATCCTACAAAAGTCCTCTCCTGTGGGCTCTGTGTGCTCATGACTCTGGTGCTGTACTTTGTGCTCTGTCCTTCAGAGAGGCTGGAGTCTACAGCCAGCACTGTCCCATCACAGCTACTTCCTAGGCAAGACTCTTGACTGGCTGGTTCCTTGATGAGGTTGCAGTACCTGTGCAGGGCATATTTTCAGATGTAGTTTGCACCATGATGAAAGGGGAGGGGTGTCTCCCTTTCTTGAACTTTGACACTCGGCTGGCTGCAGGTGAGCTGATGGTGTACAGAGTCTCCATTTTCTCTGTACATCCCAACAGCCTTGATTCACTTGCTAAAGACCTGATGTACAGGGCTGGAGAGATGGCTCAGTGGTTAAGAGCAGAGCCACTCTCGCAGAGGACTCAGGTTCAGTTCCCAGGACCCACAGGTTGGCTAACAACCCTCTTGAATTCCAGTTTCTGGGAGTCTGACAGCACCTTCTTGCCTCTGAGCATTGCACACACAAGTGCACTTACATACATGCAGGCAAAACACTCATACACATAAAAAAAAGAAATCAAATCTTTAAAAAGATTTGACTTAGTATCTGCATCTCCAGAGCATGGTGCTGTAATTCTCACAGCTTGCTTGAGGTGTTTGCCACTGCATTAGCCTTGTCTGGACTTGAGTCAAATGTCTGTCATTCAAGTGAAACATTTTGTGCAATTTTATGCTCCAGCAGAGGTTCTTAGAAACACAGGTTAGAACTTTAACACACGTGTGTGTGTGTGTGTGTGTGTGTGTGTGTGTGTGTGCGCGCGCGTGTACTGTGTCTGAAGGTCAGAGGACAACTGTGGATATCTTTCCTCAGGTGTTGTCCATACTGATTTGAGACAGGCCTGGGGCTCACCAAATTGACCAGGCTGGCCAGTGAAAAGCCTGTCTCCACCTCCCCAACAGGGTATTGCATGATGCACCACCATGCCTGTGTTCAGGGATCCAACTCAGGTCCCCCAGGCTTGAATAGCAAGTACTTTACTGAGTTCTCTCCCTGATCCCTGCTCTCCCTGAGGAAACTGAGACTAGGCAAGTTGAAGAATCTGGTCACCCACAAAGCTGGATACTACCTCAGAGCTACTGGGGGTCAAAATGGGTTTGTGTCGCACTATTGTACTGCTCCCTGTGAGGGCCATTTTCATGCATTGGGAAGTTTGTAACATAGAAATGCTTGTTACTCATTTCCTCCAAGTGCCCTAAATAACATTGTAATATTTCAGTTAAAGATGGATAAGGTGCCTGCTGTGAAAATATGCCGATTCCATTACTATGATTTTCAGTCTTTTAGTTATAGACGTGTTTAAAAATGGTTTTGATTTTGTGGACACCAGAAAATTTAAGTTATGCTTGGACTTAAAATTGATATTTGTTGTTTTTTTTTCCCCCTAGGAAAAAATGTTCTTTGGTAAATTTATTTTCTAAATTATAGTTAAGCCAGGTGTAGTGGCGCATGCCTTTAATCCCAGCACTCGGGGCAGAGGCAGGTGGATCTCTGTGAGATGAAGGCCAGCCTGGTCTACATAGTGAGTTCCAGGACAGTTGGGGCTAAAGGGAGACCCTGTCTCAAAAATACAAAAGAAAAAAATATTAGGAGGCTGGACAGATGACCCTGCAGTTAAGAGCACTGACTGCTCTTGCAGAGGACTTGGGTTCGAATCCCAGACTCCACATGGTGGCTAGCAACTGTGTGTAACTCCAGTTCCAGGGGATCCAACCCCTCTTCTGACCTTTGTGGGCACTGCATGACACGGTGTGCTTACATACATGCAGGCAGTACATTCATACACATAAAATGAAAATAATAAAATATTTAAAAATTGGGGCTGGAGAGATGGCTCAGCAGTTAAGAACACTGGTTGTTCTTGCAGAAGACCCAGGTTCGAATCACAGCACCCACATGGCAGCTAACAACTGTCCGTAACTCCAGTTCCAGGGAATCCAACAGCCTCTTCTGTCTTCTGTGGGCATTGCACAACACGGGTGCACTTACCTACATGCAGGCAATACACGCATACACATAAAATAAAAATAATAAATAAAATATTTAAAAAAATTATAGTTGAAGCATTAAAAGACTGACTATAAGCACACAGGTGAGTGACAGCTTGTTCGTTTTTAAATCGTGGTCTTTCTCTGGGACACTCTCTCATACCGACACATTGTCAGTCCCATTCCTTTTCAGATTGTTATTTAACAATCTGTGGTCTGTGTGTTGGTTACTTTTGTCATTGCCGTGACAGAGTGCTTGACAAGCAACTTAAGGGGAGGAGAGTTTGTTTCGGCTCATTGTTCAGGGCGTTTGTTTCCCCAGCTCCACTCTGCTCTTCCTTCGTGGCAGAGTGGTTCCTGTCTGGCTGTGGGAGGTGGCAGCTGAGTTCCTGGCATTGAAAGAGGTCCAAAAGGCAGAGAACCGACCTGAAGAGGAGACTGGTGCAACCTTCAAAGGCTGCCCCGTGTGGTCCAGGACTGCCAGCATTGGTCAGGCCTCATTTCCTAAAGGTTTTAGTCTTCCACAACAGCACCCTGCCAGCTGGGGACCAAGGTCCAAATGCACGAGTCTGGGGCAGCTTTTCACCTTCAGCCTTGAACAGCTGCATTACTTCAGTATCTCCTGAGTTCTGGAGGTGATAGATCAGTTGAGGCAGGTAAAGAGAAAAGGTAATGTGCTGGAACAGGGGCACTGTAGACTGCCCACAAAGCAGGGCCCATTCGCTCCCCCAGAAAAGGAAAGCCTAGTTTAAGAAATGAAACCCTGACATGGTTGTGTACGACTTTAGTCTCAGCTCTTGGGAGGCCGAGGCAGGTCGATCTCTGAGATTGAGGCCAGCCTGGTCTATAGGGAGATAGTCTCAAGAAAGACCAAAAACAAACAAGAAATGAAGCATTAGACCAGGCTCTCCCTGGTCCCATACACAGTTGGCTGCATTTCAGGAATGGCTGTGAATCAGCACTGGGAGGCAATCTTGAGTCTAAAAGGACTTTACAGTCTCAGAGTCTCATTCAGTTGGCGGCAGCAGCCTGTCTTAATGTGCTTGCTTTACTGTCGTCCCCAAATAACTCTTCTTTTTCCTTGAGCTTAATTTAAAAAAAAAACAAACAAAAACAACTTAGTAAGTTGGCTGTTTGGCTTAGGAAGTTTTAGCCTCATTTTAAAATCTTTTAATTAGCTGGGTGTGATGGCACATGCCTTTCTTTAGTTCCAGCAGAGGCAGAGTCAGGTGGATCTCTGCAAGATTGAGGCCAGCCTGGTCTACATATCAAGTTCCAGGCTAGCTGAGGCTACAGGGAGACCCTGTCTCAAAATAACCAAAAAAAAAGAAAAAGAAAAAGAAAAAGAGAAACCACTAAGCCTGGTAGCATAGGTCTTTAATCCCAGGTAGAGGCAGGGGGA